GTCCACGGCAGGGCCCGATGCTGGAGAAATCTTCCCTAGGACTACTTGAAATTGTTCTGCCAGCTAAGGATTTCAAAACAAGGTGTCCCTCATATGGACGGGTGGGTTGTTTAAATTTGCTTTGTGTAGTTAGGTAGTCACATGCAGATATTGCACACTTGAAATGTGAGTAGTGTGCATTGAACTGCTTTGTAAAGGGAAAATGCTTGAATTGTGTCAACAACTAAAAATAAAGAAAGTAAAATATCTCATTAATATTTTCAATAGTAATTACATGCTGAAATGATACTGTATGGGGTTAAATATATTAATAAAATTTATTTTAAATGTTGTCAATCGGTTTATTTATGTGGCCACTGGAAAACTTAAAAATACATGTGGCACTCAGAATATATTTCTGTAAAATTTTTTACTATTTATATATTTTAATGAATTAAGCTAAGTTTTTTTTATTTAATTTTGTAATTAAATCTGGTGTATCTCCCCAATTATTTTCTGTTTGCCTCATCTTCCTTGTCTTATTATACAATAAGTTTCCCTGGGGAGAGGCCTCAGTTATCTTATTTTGGTTCACCCCAGTTGCTTGGAAAGGTGCTAAGGTGAAAACATGTATTTCCTATAAATTGGTTGATTGTGTTAAATAAACTGGGAATACAGGTAGTGGAATGCAGTTCTTTATATATTTTTAAAATCTTTAGTTTGCAGATATAGTTTTTAAAAGCCTGATTTCAAACTTACTGATTCACAGCTCATAGTTATGTGTAAATCAAAATCTCTGACAAGGTCTGGCTGGTGTTACTCAGTTATTGAGAGTCAACCTATGAACCAGGCGGCCACACTTAGATTCCAGGTCAGTGCACATGCCAGGGTTGTAGGCTCTGTCCCCAGTGTGGGGAAGAGGGTGACTGGAGGCAGCCAATCAATGATTCTCTCTCATTGTTGATATTTATATCTCTCTCCTCCTCTCCATTCTTTTCTGAAATCAATAAAAATATATTTCAAAAAATATGTGATAAGCCTAGGCTGGTTTTTCTCATTGGTTAGATCCTCTGTCTATGGACTGAAGGGTCATAGGTTCAATTTCTGACAAAGGCATATGCCGTGGTTACAGACTCAACCTCCAGAGCCATTCCAGGAGTGTACAGGAGGCAACCAATTGATGTGTCTCTCTCACATCCATGTTACTCTCTTTCTGTCTTTCCCCCTCCCTTCTGCTCTCAGTTAGAAATCAACGGGAAAAATACCCTCAGTTGAGGATTAATGAAAAATCTCTCACAAACAAACAAACAAAAGAGAGAGAGAAAAGACGATGTTGAAACACAAATAAGAAAACCTTAGTTTGCTTTTAAACAGATTTCAGTACTGCATTTATTTTATTTTTAAAGGTATAATTTGTTACATGGTGCTGTATCTCATTATAATTTGTCTTTAGGCTTTAGAAATATGAAAGGGAACCAGGTCTCCAAGAATCAAAACAAGAAAAAGAAAATTAATCTTTGCATTTAAAAGGGGGGGATATAATGCAAGGAACTGGTTGTACTGGTGAAGCCAATGTTTAAAAGCCAAACAAGACACAGTGAGAAAATCAGACATTGGCATCAGCAGGGAGACACTACCACCCTAAACCATGGAATAAGGACATTAAGGTTTGACCAGCCCTCAGGGCCAAAATCATGGAGGGATGCTGGTACCTTGAAGATGGTGCTCCAGGTAGAGACAGGGTGGAGAAATACAGTGCTTCTCCCTTCCTCTCACCCTCTAATGTCCTTCCAGTGTCCGCTAGAAACCACTCTGTGAAAGGCGTGGGAGTCTCAGCCTGTGCTGTCGGGCTACCTGTGATAGGGAGCAAGGATGTGAGGAAAAGGCTGAGCACATACAAGTCCCAGCCTGGCACAGTCCATCCTTGTTGGCACAGCATTTGTTCTCCTATGTGGTTCCCATGAAACTGCATGGGTTAAAGGAAAAACAATGATGGAAGTATATTTTGGGAATATTTTTAATTGAGTAAAATTAAGGATGCATCCAAACAAAATTTTGAGTTACAATTAAAGCAATGCTTAGGGAAAAATGTGGGCTACTGAATGAATATATTATAAAAGAAGAAAACCCTATCTCAAGGAGGTAAAGAATTAAGCAAATTTGCCTGGCCAGCATGGCTCGTGGTTGAGTGTTGACCTATGAACCAGAAGGTCACAGTTGGACTCCAGGTCAGGGCACTTGTCTGGGTTGCAGGCTGTGTGGGATGTGCAGGAGGCAGCCAATCAATGATTTTCTCCATTATTTCTCTCTCTCTCTCTCTCTCTCCCTTCCTCTCTGAAATCAAAAAAAAAAAAAGAAGAAAAGAAAAGCAAATTCGTGTCAAATAAATTAAAAATAAAATTATAATAATAATCACAGAAAATACTGAAATTAAAAAAAATAAAAAAATAAAATCAGCAACATCAAAAATTGGGTCTTTGTATAAATCAATTAAATTGCTAAACATCAGAGAAAAAGGAGCTGTTCAAATCAAGAACATAAGACCAATAATAAGAAGGCAAACATTAATGAGGTAATATGAGGATTTTATGAACAATATGGTGCCTATGCAATTGAAATTTTAGATGATTATGAATACATTCTTTGAAAAACTTATCTTACAAAAGCTATCGCTACATTGGATTTTGTGATATATATATATTCCTTTTTGTTGAAAGTATTACATATGTCCCCTTTCCCCCTGTTGTCCTCCTCCAGCCTGCACCTGCGCCCCAGCCCTGGCCTTCACTCCCACATATTGCCTGTGTCCATTGGTTATGCTTATATGCATCCAAGTTCTTTGGTTGATCTCTTCCCCCCGCAACTACCCCCTCACCCTTGCCTAACCTCCTCAGCCTTCCCTGTTAGGTTTGATGGTCTGTACCATGCTTCTGTGTCTCTAGACCTATTTTTGTTAATCTGTTTATGTTGTTCATTATAGTCCACAAATGAGTGAGATCATGTGATACTGATCTTTCTCTGACTGGCTTATTTCCTTTAGCATAATGCTCTCCAGGTTCATCCATGCTGTTGCAGATGGTAAGAGTGCTTTCTATTGTAAGCAGCACATAGTATTCCATTATGTAGATGTACCATGGTTTTCTAACCCACGCATCTGCTGCTGGGAACTTAGGCTGTTTCCAATTCTTAGCTATTGGAAATTGTGCTGCTATGAACATAGTGGTGCTTATGTTCTTTCTGATTGGTGTTTCATGTTCCTTGGGATATATTCCTAAGAGTGGGATTACTGGAGTTTCTTCAAACAAATTAAAAATTGAACTCCCATTTGAACCAGGAAAACCTCTGAAATATTGTAAGTGGAATCCCAAGTACGCTAATGAGCAGTACGTGCATCGCAGCACTATTGGGAAATATGCTAGGGGTTACTGTCCTCTGAAGAGATATAGCATCTGAAGAGGCAGTAACATATTTCCCAGAAAAATGTTCACCTGAAACCTAGTTCTGATAGAGGTTAAAGCTGCTGCCTTCAGGCTGCTGCTACCAGCATGATGAGAACGCCAAGTTGATAACTGGCTTAGGGCTGGGTCTGTTCTGGATGTTCCAGTCAGCATGGCTCCTATTAGCTGAACATCAGATGACCAGGTGAGCCTGATGGGGGCTGCTTTTCATAACTGGCTGTTCACATCTCTCTCTAGATGCCCAAAGAGTCCTGAAAGCAATTTGGTAACTTGTTCACCTTCTGCTAGAAACACTCACCAACTCTTCCCTCTAATCACACTGATGTCAACTAGAATTCATCAGTGGTTGCTAATAGCAAAGTCAGGAGGCTCTGCTCAGCATGTGGAGGTGCCAAACTGTGAAAGGAGCCTTGCACTGGTCATGTTAAATCCTTGTTGTAGGTCAAATGGCTGTGTTGCTGCTTCTGCCCAGGGTTCTCACAGCATCCCCACTCTGTCCCCACCCTGCCATGGGAAGCAACTGAAGGTCCCTTTTTAGTGAACTGAAATCTAAGGGACACTCTAAGCATACATTACAGAGCATTAGTGTTCTTTTGAAAACAGCTTTTGGTCCTTCTGATTTAATTTCCAAAGTGTCTGATATTTGAAATACTAGTATTTTCTTTTTTTTGCCTAACAAATAATACCTTTTTTTCATGAGCCTATTAGCTTTTCATTTTTTACATTTTTATCTTTACATGTTGTTGTAGTTACTATGCTACCTAGAAAAACTTAGTTAGGATGGCTTACTGTCTGTATTTATTATTTGAAGAAGGAATAAGATTGCAGGGCCCAGGTTTTAGAATTTTAAAATGCTATGTGACACAATCACAAATCCAGGAATTAATATTGCAAGGGAAGGTTGGACAAGTCCCTGTAAGGGACAGCACCGTGTAATAGACTGCCCACATAATACTTGATATGGTCTAAAAAATGAGAACAGTAGACATTTCATTCTCTATACCTTATGTAAATGACTTGCAACCTATTGAGAAATGTTTGAGGCATTTCCCAAAATTATCTTATTAAATGTCTTCATATACACATGTACATGTACCTTTTTTAAAAATAATATATTTTATTGATTTTTTAGAGAGAGGAAGGGAGAGAGATAGACAGTTGGAAACATTGATGAGAGAAATATTGATCAGCTGCTTCTTGCACAACCCCTACTGGGAATGTGCCTGCAACCAAGGTACATGCCCTTGACCTGAACCAAACCTGGGATCCTTTAGTCCCCAGTACAACACTCTATCCACTGAGCCAAACTGATTAGGGCCATGTATCTTAATAGGATATGCACTATTCCCTTTCTTTTCCTTGTACTCCTCAGGAAAGAGTGCCTGAAGTGCCATTGCTGATCAATGAACCTTGGGTTAATTTACATTTCTATAAACTGATTAAGAGGGCAGCTACTTCAACTCTTTCTAGGATATGTGGGCTTTGATGACTTTTATTATTTGTTTTTCAATAGTTTTTAAAAAGCTTATTTATTTATTTATTTATTTATTTATTTATTTATTTAAAAACATGGAACGCCTCACGAATTTGCATGTCATCCTTGCGCAGGGGCCATGCTCATCTTCTCTGTATTGTTCCCATTTCAGTATATGTGCTGCCAAAAGGAGCACAAGGTGAGTTTTATTTAGATTTTTAATTTTTATGTTTCTTGCAAGGTTAGATTACCTTCATAAAATCGAGCTAAATTCTAAAAGATTTGATCATTTAGGGAAACAACTTACATGGCCAGGGCATCACTGATTTCATAACTTGTGATAGGTGGCAACAAAATACAAATAACATGGCACCTCTGTTAAAAATGATTTTCTACAGCATCTATAAGATGGTGACTACAGTTAATAACACTGTATTCCATATTTGAAAGTTTCCTGAATCTCATCACAAAACACATTTACATTCTTTTAGGCTGTTAGCCCCCAGGGTTGTTTTCTATAAATTCTAAGCTTAATCCTATTACTCATGTAATCCACTTAATTTGGCAGGTGGGTGTGGCCTTAGGGGAGTATAAAAGACCCATGTTTCCAGAGGCCATCTCCCTTCTCCAGGGGAGACTGACAGAAGTGGGACCTGCCAGTTGAGGGCAGAGAGTTCCTAATGACCCTGATATTGTCAGAACTTCCAGAGGTGAGATCACTCATCTTAAACTCTGATGAGTATGGAATTTAAAGTAAATACCTTCATGTCTATTTTCTCTTATACAAGTACTTTTAATTTACCTGTTGGCCTGCTTGGATATACTTCAAGCAAACAAGTAGATTTCTTAGTTAATAGAAATGATATCAATTTTTAAAGTATCTGAGATTAGAGAATTTGTAATATATTGATATTTGCTATAATACACTGAGTGGCCAGATTATTATGGCCCTCTGACGTTCGTAGGCAAATTAGCAATAATTTCCCACTCAAGTTGATAGAGGGCCAGATCATTATAAACATCTGAATAGCACAACATACCTAAATATCATTGCTGATCAAGTTCATCCTATCATGTTGGTGGCATATCCCAATGGAGTTGGCTTTTTCCAATAAGACAATGCGCCATGCCACGGTGCTCATATTGTGCAGGAGTGGATTCAAGAACAAGAAGGAGACTTTACCTGGCTTAGGTGTCCCCCACAGTCACCAGATCTCAATCCAATTGAGCCATCAGGCATCTGGTTCCACAACCATCGAATCTCCCAGAACTGGACAGTGCTATTCATCAGGCATGGTGTCAGATTCCTCGCATCACTTTTCAGCATCTCGTGGAGTCAATGCCAAGAAGAATCGGCAGAGTATTGAAGGTGAAAGTATTGCTGGAGTGGTCATAATAATCTGGCCCGTCATAATAATAATCTGGCCACTCAGTGTAGATTACTTGATTATTTTTATTTTATTACCATTTGCTACTGGAATTTCATTTCGGTCTTAAAAGAGATTTCTTTATTTTTTTGTGAAGTTATGGAAATCTAAAACTACCTATAATGTTCAACACAATGTATAAATATAAGTCTTCATACATATTAACCTGCAAAGTATGTGTACAATTCATTAGAAAAGCCTTGTTCAGGTCCTATTTGCTCTTTCCTTAAAACCTAAAATTTCCAGGTTCCATTTGGAACTTTGAAATAGATCTGAACAACTGTAGGGCTTCCCAGGAAGTGGAGATGGATACAATGGGAGATTTTATCAGAAATAAAGATGACCCAGTCATGCTTCCATTAATTGCATCTCTGGATTTTCTAGTGTAGAGATAATACCCCATGTTGTTGTTGTTTTCTCCTGTGTGTGGTTTTTTTTTTTTTTTCAATTGATTGCAGAGAGATTTAAGAGGGGAAAGAAATGAGGTATTTTTTGTTGTCACTTTCATTATTTCTCTTTTATATATGAGGAAACTAAGGATTAGTGTAGTTTGCTTTGGTAAGCCTTAGATCACATCATTCTTCCTTTTAGGCCTGGTCAAATAAGTGAATCGATACCCGTCCCCTGGGAACTGACTTTTCAGGCCATTTCACTGTGGACATTCCCTTTTGCTGAGACCATACTTTACTTGGTGAGCACAGATTCCCTTTTTCCTCCCCTCCGGACCTGCAAGAGAGTTCTCCACCCAGAAAAAGCCCACCAAAAGTCCTTTAAAAACTGCCAACTACTGTCATTGGGTGCTGGAGCCATCCAGAGTAAGCCACATGGTGTGCGGATGATTCTATAAATTCATAATCTCTCACCATTCTGGCCTCCTGAGTTCCTCCAGCAACTGCCCCCTGCAACTGCCCCCTAACCCCCTGCCTAACCTCCTCAGCCTTCCCTCTTAGGTTTGATGGTCTGTTCCATGCTTCTGTGTCTCTAGACCTATTTCTGTTAATCTGTTTATGTTGTTCATTATAGTCCACAAATGAGTGAGATCATGTGATACTGATCTTTCTCTGACTGGCTGATTTCTCTTAGCATAATGCTCCCCAGGTTCATCCATGCTGTTGCAGATGGTAAGAGTTGTTTCTATTGTAAGCTGCATAGTATTCCATTATGTAGATGTACCATGGTTTTCTAATCCACTCTGCTGCTGCTGGGAATTTAGGCTGTTTCCAATTCTTAGCTATTGTAAATTGTGCTGCTATGAACATAGTGGTGCTTATGTTCTTTTTGATTGGTGTTTCATGTTTCTTGGGATATATTCCTAAGAGTGGGATTACTGGAGTTTCTTCAAACAAATTAAAAATTGAACTCCATTTGACCCAGGAAAACCTCTGAAATATTGTAAGTGGAATCCCAAGTACACTAATGAGCAGTACGTGCATCGCAGCACTATTGGGAAATATGCTAGGGGTTACTGTCCTCTGAAGAGATATAGCATCTGAAGAGGCGGTAACATATTTCCCAGAAAAATGTTCACCTGAAACCTAGTTCGGACAGAGCTTGAAGCTGCTGCCTTCAGGCTGCTGCTACCAGCATGATGAGAACGCCAAGTTGATAACTGGCTTAGGGCTGGGTCTGTTCTGGCTCCTCCAGTCAGGAGTGACTCATATCAGCTGAACATCAGATGATCAGGTGAGCCTGATGGGGGCTGCTTTGCATAACTGGCTGTTCACATCTCTCTCTAGATGCCCAAAGAGTCCTGAATGCAATTTGGTAACTTGTTCACCTTCTGCTAGAAACACTCACCAACTCTTCCCTCTAATCACACTGATGTCAACTAGAATTCATCAGTGGTTGCTAATAGCAAAGTCAGGCAGCTCTACTTAGGATGTGGAGGTGCCAAACTGTGAAAGGAGCCTTGCACTGGTCATGTTAAATCCTTGTTGTAGGTCAAATGGCTGTGTTGCTGCTTCTGCCCTGGGTTCTCACAGCATCCCCACTCTGTCCCCACCCTGCCATGGGAAGCAACTGAAGGTCTTTTTTTGGTGAACTGAAATCTAAGGGAAAGTTTTAGCATTACATTACAGAGCATTAGTGTTCTTTTGAAAACAGCTTTTGGTCCTTCTGTTTTTAATTTCCAAAGTGTCTGATATTTGAAATACTAATATTTATTTTTTGGCCTAACAAATAATACCTTTTTTCAAGAGCCTATTAGCTTTTCACTTTTTACATTTTTATCTTTACATGTTGTTGTAGTTACTATGCTACCTAGAAAAACTTAGGATGGCTTACTGTCTGCATTTATTATTTGAAGAAGGAATAAGATTACAGGGCCCAGGTTATAGAATTTTAAAATGCTATGTGAAACAATCACAAATCCAGGAATTAATATTGCAAGGGAAGGTTGGACAAGTCCCTGTAAGGAACAGCACCATGTAATAGACAGTCTACATAATACTTGATATGGTCTAAAAAATGAGAACAGTAGACATTTTATTCTCTATACCTTATGTAAATGACTTGCAACCTATTCAGAAATGTTTGAGTTATTTCCCAAAATTAACTTATTAAATGTCCTCATATACACATTTACATGTATCTCTTTTAAAAATATATATTTTATTGATTTTTTTACAGAGAGGAAGGGAGAGGGATAGAGTTGGAAACATTGATCAGTTGCCTCCTGCACAACCCCTACTGGGAATGTGCCTGCAACCAAGGTACATGCCCTTGACCTGAATTGGACCTGGGATCCTTTAGTCCCCAGGCCAACA